TTTGTGAATTTCAAAATTAGAATTATTGAATGTTTATATGCTAATCTTTTAAGTTGTTAGTATTATCAAAGGTTTATAATTTTTTCATGATGGAGTTGAATAATTATTTTTTCCTCTTTCTCACAGGGTAATGATGCAAATTGTACAAGAATTATGTAAGCGTCCAGGCCTTAACAAGACTGGCTTTGATATGCCAACAATTTACATTCCCAATCCAAACAAGGTACATTAGTGATGTTGTGTGTGCTTTGATGCTTTTGATATTCTTTAAGATCACATTGAAAATATTAGTATGGATTTCCTGTGTGATGACATTTTTAATCAATTTTTTATTTTTCAGGGAAGTCGCTGTGTGAACCAAATTGAAGAGGTTTGCCGAGACATTGAGAAGACTATTAATCAGACAATCCAGAACACACTCAACCAATTGGAAAGGGACTGTGACCAGATTTCAACACTTGTTGATGAAGCCATTGAAGCTGATAACACCTCAAGGGCCTATAATTTTCGTGCTAAGGTAAGCCTTGTACGCTTGAGTGCTAAGTAAAATTCTTGGATTATAAAGTATGTCTTTTTTACTTGTTTTCTGTTTCTTAGAGTTGTTTCATGATAATTTCCTACTGAACGACTAGTATACTGGCTCTATATAATTTTAAGATTTCTTATTTTATGATATGCTTAGGTAATCTGGTTTCATTCAAAAACAGTAGTATATAATCAACAAAAAATTGAGATGCACAAAATGCCTAATGGAAACTGCTTGATATTTCAGGCAAAAGGGATGGGACTCTCCTTATTTGGAATCCTGCTACCGATTATACTGATGCTGGAAGTTCTCCTTTCTTCTGCTCCAAAGGAACTTGTTAATAATCTCTTTGGAGAGTCACTTGCTGACACATTAGCAACTTATATGGTAGGTCTTACTGATCCATAGTCTGTCATACTAAGCATATATTTTCATTAGATAAATGTTTTTGGTGCAAGATATATATTGTATATTTTATACATTCTCTTTTTTTCCTTTTGTTTTAACTCAGAGTTGTTGAAGTATTTAGATTGTGTTTGTTTTTCAGGCCCCTTTAACATCTTTCTGGATGGCCATTGGTGAGGATAATCAAATGGTGGTGCTTGCTGTTGTGCTAATTGTGTCTGGCACATTCCTCATTATCTCTCGCTACTGCAGCAAGACGAGGCCCACTTTACAGCGCCGCTCAAAGAAGGCCCTGCTTGAAAAGCGAGAATATGTTAATTCCCATGTGAAGGGACAAAAGGTAAGTTATCTTTTTTTTCCTCTTGATTATTTTTGTAAATGTATGTGGTATTATAAGTGTCCCATATCATAGGTCTAGTGAGAATGATGTGTTGAACAGGCGTTATTCTTTTATATATTTGTGTTTCATTTTAATTTTTCCTTTTTGCAACAGAAAAAACTCTACTCAGAATACCTGCAGCAAAGTGTGTCTGATCAAGATTTATAAAAGTAGTCAGCTGAAGGCTTGGTCTGATGATAGCAAAATGACACCTTTTGTTAAGTACAAAAATGAAAAGAAAAAGAGAGGAGAAAGGAAGAGGAAATCACCCAGTGCCTAATTTTTTATACTGTAAATGAAGCCAAAGAACAGTATTTTTCTATAAATCATTGAATGCATGGCTGTAGCACTGACTGTTTATAAATGCACACGCACACAATAACTCTCACTCTCATACACACTCACTCACACACACTTACACTCACACACACACTCACATTCACATACTAACTCACTCACACTCACACACACACACATTCACACACTCATTCACATTCACACTCACATTCACACACTCATTCACATTCACACACTCACATGCACATTCACATTCACATTGGCACACTCTCACTCTCGCTCTCACTCTCATGCATTAGTACACAAACACACATGGGCATGTGAACATGTACATCAGTGCACATACACATGCATATATTTATATGTGCACATGTACATAAATGCATATATAACTGGCACATGTTCACCTGTGCATATGCATACATATACACATTTACATTTATTCATATACATATACTCATAAATACACACATTCACATGTACACATCCAATTTCATGTATACATTTACATATACACATTCACATGTATACAAGCACATATATACATATACATTTACATATACATATATATACACTTACATTTAGATATGCATACATACACATGCATGTGAATATGTACTGCATTTATACTCATGTACATGGAGGGCATAAAATTTGTTTTAACAAATATTTACCTCTTAGCTGTAATAGACTATATTTGTGTAACTGTGTTAGTATGCACTTGTTTTGAGATCAAATAGCTACTTATATAGGATTTTGTTTTTAGCAAGATGGTGATACTTCATTTGATAAAATGTTAAATTTCATTTTTGACCACTGGTTGTGCAAAGCAGAAATTGTTAAATGTTTTTGAATAAAATAGTAGGATAGTCAAGATTTTTAATAGATCAACCTTACTTTTTTGGTTTCCTTTTGTGCATATTGTGCATACATAAATAATTTTGTTATTGTCTGAATAGTATTTATGAGATTTACCATCAAGGTATGGAAAAGGAAAACCAATAAATAGATTAATAATATAAGGAGAAACAGATAACAAATTTTTAATATATCAAGCATAACAATAATTGTCCACACATTTGCTAAATATAAACACAGATTAAATAGTTAATGTGACCATCAGTTATCCTTTTTTGATGAATACAGGGAAGCTGAAGACAGATTAATTGGCTGAAAGTACTAATAAACTAATGTGTGAACTGATAGGGGAAGGGGAAGGGGAGGCAAATAGTATGTTCATAGAGGAGACAACCATAAACTTTTATGATGGCTAAAGTAACCTGAAAAAAGGCAACCATTATTTGATCATTAATCTTCCCATTCATCATGCTTATTTTTCTAAAGGAAATCTAGATTTTATCAATTATTTACAAAGACCAATAATGTATTGTTTATAAAGACCAATGATGTATAAGTTTTATGCAAATATTCATGAGTAAGGATTACCATGTTTTATCAATCAAAGTAGTTTCACACATTTTTATGCTCAATAAAAAGTTAAGCAAACTAAGGAATAAAGATGCCCTCATTCAAGTCATAGATTAACTGAAAATACCTCCTAATAATCCCAACTTGCAACAGTAACAGTAACAAGCCAAAATAAATGGTAATGTGATATTTTGAGGTCAATTCAGATTCTATGGGTGAACGGTTTAGAAAATGTTCAGACAAAATAATTTTTGTCTAAATATACAGTGCTTAGATCATCAGGTTCTTATATATATAGTAGTATTGCTTATCCTTAGAATTTAATTGTATACTTCACTCATGTCAGGGTGTGATCAGTGTATATCCGGTGTTAAATTGTGTATGTTGCCAGGACCTTTCAGTATCAAGTTTGTAAACCTGTGATAAAGTATGTTAGGGTGATTAAACATTTTTTTGTCATGAAATGAGCTAGACCATCAATTTACTCATAGATTTTTTTCTCTATAACTTGCTTCTACATAATACCAAAAAGAAGTATTTGAATATGATGTTTTTTAGTATATTTGACTTTATTTGTATATGGTATGCGAGGCAGTTTGCTTATCTTGAAGGATATTTGTTCAGTATGTGCTCAATGATACAAAGTTTGCAAATATTGAATGTTTTTTAAGAGTGCCAGATGTGGATTTTTCATCTGTTTCATCAGATTTCCTCCAGGCCTCACCACCTCAGGTAGACTGTCCTTTGTCTGGTTAATGTTAATGGAATGCAGTTGTAATTCTAAGTAGTATATTTGTATGAATGGATGCTCAAAACAATTATTCAATATTCTTCCTTTTCCTTGGATCTTTTTCTGGTGTTTTTTATTATTTAATTTAGCATAGAACATGACACTTCAGAAATGTACTTTGTACAGTTGTGTAAAAATTGTTTAGATCATAGTTTGGGTACTGCCAGAGTAATGCAGATGTCATGCCAGAACCGTTTAAGAAAATACAGTAATGAAAACTGAAAAGATAATGAAAATCTTTGCAAAAAGACAAAAAAGAAATAACTGACTCTTCTGTCAGCACAAGGTAGTGTTTACCATTGTGGTAAAAGCCCCTTGTGTCAGTTCACCAAAAAGACTAGAAATACATTGTTTTCCATAAGTCCAATCTTCTGTAGATTTAAAGGTGGTTATTCATATTTTTAAGAATGCAGATATTTGCTTCCATGAATGAAATGTAATTTCACCAAACTGGAATGGCGATTTTATAATCCCTTTAGAATGTGTTTGGTTGTGAGTGTTCCTAAGTATTTCTTGTCCGTAAAGTTGCTCTGATGATAGATTTTTCTTTTATGTGTCAGTAAAGTTGCTTGGTTAGAGTGTTTGGCATAATGTTAATGTTAAGTTTATCTCTTATGAAAAAATGAATATTGATTCAAAGGTCTTGTTGGGTCAACCTTGAAAAGTTTAGAACCATTGAACAGACTGATCTGTCTTGTATTTTGTTTTTTGTTCCTAATAATTTTATTCAGAATTTCTCATTCTGCTTTCAGGTGAGTCACTATAACCATTATATTAAGCTATTGGATATTACCATTTAAGTATTTTTGTTTATTTCTGTTGTCAGCGTACTTCTATATATTAATTTTAAGTCAAGCTCTTGTATTTTTTCTGTTAAAATAAAGAGTAAGAAACAATATGTTTGTATGCTACTAGATTCCATATTCTCTTCATCTTAAATTTTTCTGATATTTTTTTGTGAAATTTATTTATTTAGTGTATTGAGAATAACAATATCAATATCTACTATAATTTATATTTTTAGTCATTACTTTGTTCTATAATATTATTTGATTTTTTATATAACCTTGGGTTTTGGTTTGCAGGCAATTTAACACACATTATTGTTCATGTCCCCAGTTGGTTGGCTTGGTCGTTTGGTAGTTAGTATAGATAAAAAGCTTATATTGATATAATTTTTTTCTTTTTTCTTGACTTTATTTTTTACTGCCTAAAAGTTTCACCATACAAATGATGCTGTTTTTATAGGAGAACAAGCTCTGTCTGATGAGCTGATGGTGCAGGAGTGATCCTGATGCGATGCAACCCACTACTTGGTCTACAACAGCCATGGCACGTACTCCCATGCCATCTGGTGGGAAAGGATTTAGCAAAGTAACTAGTATCTCATATGAACTGAAATCTGACTTTTATGTTAACTGATTATAGAAAAAAAAGTAAAAAAAAAAATAAATAAAAAATAATAATATAATAATAAAGCATTACTTTATAGCTTCTGCTTGCTTCAATTCACAAAACAATAGTGTAAAATATGAGGTGAGACAAAGAAACAGAACTTTAATTTTTCTTCTACATTAACAATCAAGAGTCAACCTGCCATCACTAAAACAATTGTGTAGTAACAGAGACTTTATTATGTATAGTATTGCTCTATAATATTGACTAGAAGTGTATGGAGATCTCTAGCTGCTGCTCGTCTATTTGGTGTTGGCTTGTTAGGGTTATTGAGAGGATGATGACCACATTTTTCAACAAGGGGAAAAAGTTCCGGGAATTTCTTGATAAGCCATATCGGTGGGCTGTGTAGAAGGCCTTGAGGAAGGTCTTCAGAAAATGCAGATGATGATAGCATTCCCTGTACAAAGCAGAAATAAGGGATATCATTAAGATGCAATTTCATAACTCGTTATGAGGTTGATGATAAGATAAGATTATTTGAATGATAATCTTCAATTTCAATATAAAATTAGACCGATACAAATTCCTGCACTTCAATGTAAAAATAGAGATAATGTAGAGCATTAAAATAAGTTAATGTACAACTAGGAAAGTCAGATTTCTTCAGCCTTGTATAATATTACAAAAAAGTAAAAGGAGTAACAGTAATAAGTATATGCAAGCAAAAAAAATAAAGAAGAAGAAGAAAAAAAAGAAGAAGAAAAAAAAAGACAAGTTTTTACATACCTTACACACAGCATAGAAATTATGATCTGATGAGACATGACCACAGAGATCTTCGTAAGAAAAGCTCAAACAATCAGCACATCCAAATCCATCATTCACATGCTCTGTGACATCTGAAACATATCATATTTATAGGAAATGATATATGAACATTTAATGTTTTAAACAAATAATTGTACTAAACATCAAATGTCATATAGCACTGTGGTAAAATATTGCATGAAAAGGGGTAAAGAGGAGTTAAAGATTAAGATAAAATATGTTTATGTCGTAATTAGAGAGCATTATAGGATAGTATGGTAGTGAAAAGGGAAAAGAGGGGAGCAAGTGAAGTAGAGGAGAGATTTGTAGAAAGTGGAGGGATAAAGGGGTAGGGCAATTGAGTGAATTGCAATGTATCTGTGACGGGAAAGAATATGGACATTGTTCAAGGAAAACAGAGGTGGCTGTTGAAGTAGGAGGAGAAGAATCTGGGGGATGAGAAAGGGGGACTGGGGAAGGTGGTAGAGTATAAGGATGAATGTCTGGAGTGAAGGGGTCTGGTGAAGGACACTGTTGTGACAGAAGAGATTCAAGTGAGCATTCAGGTGGGAGTGGTAGAGAGGATGGGGTATGTTGGGAGAGTGTAAAAGGAAGGGGGGTGGGGGGAATCTGAGGAGGAGAAGGGTGGATATTGGCAAGATACTTTAAATGTAGAAGGAGAAGAAACAGAGGGATTGGATGGTGGATGCGGGAGTGGAGTGTTCCCTTGGGCCATCTTTTTGAAGTTTTGGATGTTTTCAAGAGTTTCTGGAGGGGAGTTGGGTGAAGAGGACTGAGAAACAAAGGTTCTCTTGTGAGGAGGAGAAGTGGGGATAAATATCTGAGGAGCAGAAGAAGTAGAAGGTGTAGGAGACTATGTGGTAGGAGAGGGTGGAGTGGAACATTTGGGTTGCCTGGTGCAGCAAGTAGGTATTGGGGAAGTGTATAGATTGGGGAAACTGGATTTAAATTGGGAAAAGAATTTGACTGGGAGATTGGGCAAGTAGAGGTAGTATGGTCCAGGGTATAGGGAAGAGATACTGGGGGAGATGCAGAAACATCTTGAGGAGATTTGGAATAAGTTGAGAGAGAAAAACCTCATCATCATGCTTCCTGTCTAGCCTCACATAGAGGGATGCCTTATTTGAATCTGAGGACTGCTACCTCACATTCAAACTTATAGGCAGGGCAGCTCCTATCAAATACAATATGGGAGTCTCCACAGGTGGCACGTGTATGTGAGTGATCAGTCATGACCAGGTTGGGCACATAGAGGGCAGCGAGCTGTGGAGCAACAATGTTTGGCAAGGTGGCCAAAACGCCAACATTTCTGACATTGATGAGGAAGGGGTCGATATGGTTGGACATTTTAGGACAATCCACAAATATAAAGTTCATGGGAGAGGTCATGTCTATGGAAGCTAATCTTGGCAATATTGACATGATTG